TCGACCGTCGCCGACTCCGCGGTCGTCGCGTCTCCGGCGTCGGCTACGACATGTTATCGACGCGTGTAATTGACCCGCCGCCACACCGGGGCGCCGCCGCCTGCGCTTGCCCATTTACTCTCGTCGCCGTATTATTGTCGTCGTGGTCGCCGCCGCCACCGTTGTTGTTGTCGTTATTATATACGTATTATTTCTATACAATCTTGATTTACACGATCGTCTCGCGCATTCATCCCCGTACAGAAAAACCCTTCGATGGGAATGTAAATAATAATTTCGTGTAGACCGTATACATATCGGTATGGCGCGCCGCGGAGGTATAGCGTCGTGGGCGCGGGCGCGGTATAATAATATGGGTATATTATTGCGGTTATTATTATTATTATTATTATTACGAAACACGCACATCGCGCACGCCGGTGGCCGTCGTCGTCCGAAAAGTATTTCCACGCGACCGTTGGTAAAATATTATAACTCACACATCACGCTGCAGCACGCACGAGCGAGGATAATGTCAATTATTATTATTTGGGATAATATCACGTAAAATATTCCGAATATTGTTTTTTACTCTGAATGGAAAAGAATTAATACGTATTGGTAAATTTACGTGTGTTTATTAGGTGTTCTACCAGTCTGTAGCGTCATCTTCTTTACGGAAAAGTAAGTGCTTTTTTAATCTTTGACTTAGATATTACCTTTCCCAGTACGAAAATTAATCTAGTTTGTAAATTTGAGAGTATCGAAAATAAAAAAAAAATTAACAGTATGTACTCTACTTAATAATTAGAAAAAGCGGGAAGTTTTACACAGTACCGGTTTTTTTGAGAAAATCGATTCAGTACATTTGTTTAATCTAAAAACAAATAACCGGCAGATACCTTGTTATATTTTTGGAATGTTCATCAAATATTTATATTTTCTATAGGTATAAAGTATAATTTTAAAATATCATAATTGGATTAATCATGAAAAATGTCAAAAAGCTTAAAAATGTAAGGTTCTCATATCAGTCATCGTCGTCCGAATAGAGTATTTCTTCGTACTCAACTCACATAGATAATAATTATATAATACTGTTTTATGTATCATACATTCATACGAATATTGTTTTATTCTTCTCTTGGCGGTTGTCGGTCGCGTTATTTTTAACGGACGTACATAATATTATTTTCCGTCGTCGTCACACGCGCATAGTAACCAAAAAAAAAAAAATCATTATACATTATATTGTTTCGTTTATATATTATATTATTATATATTATATTTGCGTCGGGTCTCTCTCGCGCGTTATTTAAGACAAAAGAGGGAAGAGAAGAGTCATCAGAACGACAAACGCGTATCGGCGAGATGGGGTCTTCGTTCCATTGTCTATATACGTGTTCGTAATGAAAAGTATCCGGTTTTCGGCTTCTGGACCGGGTACGGCGGCAGCGGAGCAGAGCGGTGAGTGAGGTGGCGGCGGCGGGTGGGGTTTTATCTGTCCGCGGATGAAAGGGGGACGGCGGCGACAAGCGGAAGAGAAGGAGGCGGAGGACGACTACAGGAAAAGAATGAAAAAAAAATTAACGTCGGACCGGACCACATCCTGTGTGTATGTGTGTGTGCGCGTCTTCTTTAATATAATATTCTTCCCGAGCTCGCTGTACTCACACGCACGCATATATATACATAAGTGCAACGATGCGTCGACGGAGAGACTTGGTCCACGCGCGTTATATGGTAGGTATCTACCTATCTACAAGCTATATGTATGTATATTCTATTATTACGTCCGTTGCACACACCTATGTACATTACACCGACGACGTCACCCGAGTGTACGATAATCACACGGTGTAAACCTATATAGAATAATAACTACCGTGGTGCTCGTGTATATGTAAAAACAGAGCACTTGTACGGTTTTCTCGCCGTTTCCTCTTTGCCGGATACGCATCCTCACAAGTGTACCTGTATATCCTCGTGTGTAGCGCGTCTGTTCGCCGAGGGTCGTTGGATGGACGGGTGGTGATCGAGACCGGACGGAGTTTAATACTGACAATTTTGTATAGGAAGTTGTATGGTCGGAAGCGAAAATAATACGATCGGATTTTAGAAAAACGGCCAGTCGACAGTTTGAACATCACACCACGTGTATAAATATATAGGTATATATTGGTGGTTAGTTGGTCAATTATATGTGGTTAACAATATTATTGTGGCCGCAGTGCCTCGGCTATCTTGAGATATGCATTTCGGTCGGACGATTTCACGTTTCATTTTCGTTGTTTGTTTGTTGTTTTTTTTCAACGCCGGAAATGTTTTCAACGATTTACGGGCACTGCGATCCACAAACGAGTCGTTCTAGGAAGGAGGGACATTGCCGCGCATAACGACTACAAGGTGCGCGCCGTAACGGTTTTGCGCTAAGGGTTAGGTTAAAGAGTAATAGGTGTGTATAGCTTCCGTGTATATACGAGAGTTAAAAAAAAAAGATGCACTCGGAAAGTGGGATGACCAGTTTTTTCACGTTGCCTCGATGACCTTTGACAAACGATGTAATAAAATTGAAAAGAAAAGGAATATGGAAATTAGGGATTATCGAATTCGCCACAGGGCCGCGAATCTTCGCGCAAGAAGGGTGCATGCTGCCTCGCGCTCCGCAAGAGAAGGGGGTCATGGAGAGAAAGAGGAACGAGAAACGAATAAATAATGATAATATTATATTATATACATTTATAAGTATAATACAAGAGAGTATAATAATATAATGTATTTTATTATGCAGAACAAGATTGTTGTTATGAGTTCGCGACGGATCACTCGAGACATATATTGCCTATACACATCATAAATGCGTATGGTCGTTTATCTCTGTGACTCGTGGAGAGCCTCTTTCGTCGTATAATATGTTTCATCATCGTTCAATACAGATTAAACGCCACGCTATAGGCACAACATTACAGTATACCTATGTACGTGTTTCTTAATTCTTTCCGATTCTATATTAAACGTCGCCAATGGTGGTTTATTGATGATAACAAAAACAATATTATGATGCAATAGAGAATATTTATTATGCAGAAAAACGGATTAATGGCCGGAATTATTTATTTTTTAATTTCCTGAGTTTGTTTACTAGTTTGTCACTAGGTTTTTTTTACGTTCACTAAAGTTTCCGGCGAACAATATTTATGAGTGAGAGACTGGTAAACACAATTTTGTATTGCTATCGAGAAGGACGCGACGATCAAATTTTAAATAATATTAATATTTTTTCCCTATCTCGTGTCTTCTGATTCTTATGTCGTTTCAAAATACTAGGACGAACTCAATACCGTAACATCGTCGTTGGGACAACAATATAATCATAATGCTTAATAGATTATAGTGAAAAAAAAACGTTAGAAAAGGCCGGATGAAAATTATAAATTGAACAAGTATCCGCTAACGCAGGTAAAACCCGGTTACACGCATTTGGACGTATAATACATGATGTCATAATACTCATAATACAACATTGTGATGCATATTATAAACTCGGCTCGGATTAAGTTCTCTAGATTCTAGAAGACAGTAAAATACTCATACAAATATTTTCCAAAATTGAAGTATAATTAAATAAATAAATTGTTCATAAACTAAAATACAGCGACATTGAATTATTTAATTTGGGCAATATAAATATGAAGGTAAATTATTATTTTAATAAAAATAATAACACAATTAAAAAATAATAGTAATCTTTAAAGTAATTATTTTCAAGTTTTTAAAATAATTGTGTAATAATAATAGTTAATGGTTTTTTTTTCAATAAAATGACGGCACCCGGCCCTAGCTCCCTTTTAATCCTGGGCTGAGTGTAGTGCAAATAACTGTTTAAACCGTTGGAACTAACCTTGTGCATAGCCGGTAGATATCCGTTTTGAGCAATAACGTTGTTATACATGGTAACAATGTGGTAGTAGATAATGCACGGCCGCAGCGTTACAATAAAGTATACAACAATAACGAATGACAACCGATATCAAATGCCGAAGAGACGAAGATTAACGACGACAATGAATTATTATTTATTATGTTATTAGAGTAGAGGAGATTCAAAGTATCGAAAGACATATTATTATTGAGAGATAAGGCGGATAATTTTCTGCGATCACTTTTAGGAACTTCAGACATTCACACACTCGCATGCACGCGTCACGCATAGTATTTACGTATGTGTGTATGCTCTCGTTATCTTTAGCTAATACTACATTGCGACCGTGACGTTTGTTTAGGAGATAAATAAAAAAAAAAAACGCGACAAAGAATAATAAAGCTGCGCCCTTTTGCTGGTACCTATACATTTCATTTCCCAGCGCCAGCCGCCGCCATCATTGCAAGCGATCGATTAGACACAGAACAGAAACAAAGACGAAAGAAATCAATAGATGTAAATACACTTATAACTAAGTATATAATATTACGATTTATAAAGAAAAACTGATTATCAGTTGAAATTCAAAATCGAAGAATGCATCAATAAAAAATACAATACATTTCGAATCGTTCTCAAAACTCAATCAACAAATTACCCTGCAAAATTACAATTTACGCTCGATTTGTTCCTAGATTGTGTAAAGGTAAAGATGAAAGATTAATAAAATAAATATTCAAAAGCAGAACAGTATTTTCGTTTTTAATAAATATTTATGGTTAATTTACCCTGACTACACTTAAATTAATTTATTATAATTTAATTTTCATAAAACATCAGTCATCGTAACAAAATAGCTTATTTTAAATGAAATAATCACATCGAAACAGAGCTTTTTAGAAAATTATTTGCAAAGGCAAAAAAATAAATAAACACTACTTGGTTGTTAAGCTTTTCTTTGTTTTTAGTTCTTATAGTAAATAATTATTATCTGTCATGTGTATAGGTACATTAAAAATAATTGATACGCGTATATAAATTGTTAACTTATGAGTACTAATACGCGTTTGATATTATTTATTATTATTTTTATTATTACCACAGTCGACGAACACTAAACTGAACCCATCATAATCTCTGGAATTATTAGATCAAATCTTTTTTCCATTTTCTGCTTTTGAATGGTTGGAAAAAAATTGTGAGTGACGTAGTCTACGAATATCCATAATATTTATCCCGTCAAATCTGTCACCACCAGTATCCATCTCTCTATATAACATGATACAGTATAGTTGCTGCGAGCTGGACCGCTGATGAATGGATTTCGTTCGCTCCGTATATCGAACCACACTATCGCACGCACAACACTCTAACACTCTTAACTGTTCGTTGCTTCCGATGCGTTAATTTTTATTTTTAAATATTGAACACAACAACGCTCCCGATAAATACCCACACGCATTTGCCAGCCTACACGGGACGAACCGGTGCTGAAGTGGCACGTCTCTATCTCATCGGTGTTCGCTCACATATAGTATCAATTACTGTATTATTATCGTTGTAGTATCCGTCTATATAAATAATAATATCTAATGTGACAAATAAGTCTTCCTCTCCCACCGTCACTGCATCGTGGTATTCGTTAATATTATAATCGACGTTTTATCTGCTCCTAAGCAGACATGTGATCGGCGGCGGCGGCGCACCCAGAGAGATGTCTCGTCGACAACGACGCGTACTTTCCGAACCTGTATTATTAGACGGCAATGGATCGATAGTAATTATAACGAATCCCATTATTAGATCTCGAAAGAAAAAAAATTGTGTAATAATAATATCCCCTGGTCAAACAACATCAAAACATAGATAACAGTCCGAAAATGATCATATTTTCAGTACTCCCGCGCACACACATTCACACACTCATATTAACTCTACACGCCACAATAATAATAATAATAATAAAGGTGTAGCCCGATCGAAATGTTTTTTTTACTCACACGTGCGGTTATCGGATTGGTACCCGCGTAATTGGATTTGTGTGTATAGAGAAGACTGCCAAAGCCATCGGAGGTACTTACACTTTACACGGCATGTATTCAATATCAACAAAATCGATCGCCGAACAGAAGACGCGCGACGAGTAGTATATTTATGTTGGACGAGCAGAAAAACGGGGGAAACTCGCAAAACTGCCGTTGTAAACTCCGGAAACGTAAAACATTTTATAAATTCCATTCGGGTCCCGCCGGTGTACAAATGTTGTGCATCCTCGTCGTCTCCCCGGACATCGTGCGCATCCGGTTCTCGCCGGGATCACCGAGCACACGCTATCCAGTTTTCGGAGACGGACGCGCGCGCGCTCCCCCTCGGGGGAGACACGAATAGGGGTCGTTCCGAATATTTTTTATTATTATTATTATTTTATTACAATTTTATTGTCATTCAAATTCGCCGCTCTGACCCCGGAAGAAATACACACGGTATACCCATGACATTATTACGCTACCTACCTATCTATCTAACCGTCCGCGCACAATCGACCCCGAGCGCCGAGTCTGCGAGCGACATCGCACAGACAGATATTACGACAGCACAGAGGTTGGGTGTACACGTTTTAAATTATAATATTATATATTTATATACGACTGTGTGCACGTACATCTCACGTACTGCACGCAGATAACCCGAGCCATACGGCATATATTAGCATTATTACCCGACGCTATGTCGCCTGGTCGTCGCCGCCGCTAGTAGATTACTGGTAACACAATATTATGATAGAGCAGGTGTGACATAGCTTTGAAAGCAAATATCGCGTCGTCGACGACGTATCGGCAATATAATAATATTAATAATAATAATAATAATTATTATTATTATTTTTACTCGAATCGTAGTAAATTTGGTATTTAGTGGGCCGATTATATATTTTATTACTATTACGTTACAACCATCATCGGACAATAATAATTAATATAAAACGACGTCGTCGGTGGCAAGAGAAAATAAGACGTGCTCTGCAGGCGCGGCGGAGCGTTTACAGTGACAGTCGTCGACGACCGGAGACGGATCTCCGACGAGAGTCCGTTCGAATCGCGAGATTTCGATTAGAAGTCGGTCGAGCGCGGGGCTGCTGATTCGCGTTAAATCAAACGCGGGCCGATAACGACGTGTGCGCGCCGCGGCCACGACCGTCGTAAACACCGGGGACAGCTGCTGATAATAACCACATCTCGAACCGAGAGATAGCACGAAAATAGTCTGATCGGAATAACGTTGCAAATTTTATCACTGACGGCGGTTATTATTACGAGTATATCGGACGACGGGAAATGGGAATTGTGTATTTTTAAACACGCTCGCCCGAGCTCGGCTCTTCCAGGTACCCACGACTATTTACCCGCCTGCCACCGATCCGAAACACCGTAAGCGATGTATTATTATAATTATTATTATAAATCGCGATCCGACTGTCTAAAATAGCCTCTCCGGCGTACGGCGACGATAACGCGACATCCGGCGCGGATAGAGACGTTCAATAATAATTTTCACGCCCCCCCCCCCCCCCGTCCCTGGAACAATTTTGTGTATAAAAATATTTTGTTATCGTGTTTTTGTTTTTACCTGTGGTGTGCGGCGACGGCGGAGGATCTCTCGGGTGGCTTCGCGTATCTTCATGGACGCCGGTAGCGGATGCGAGCGGGCCCGTCGTCGATCGTACGTGGCGAACGTGTGTAGGCACTGCGGTGGTGGTCGTCGTCGTAGTCTTCGTCGAGGAGGTGACGGATATCTTCTGCGCGCGAGACAACTGGTGCGCGTGTGCGTATGTGTGGTACGGTGTGGACGCAGGCGCGATGGTCACGGTCCGTTCGGAGCAAACTCCACTGCGGCGGTCGGACACAGCAGCAGCACTGCGGCGGCGGTGGCGACGGCAGCGGCAGCGGCAGCGGCGGCGGTCGCGTCGCGGGACAGGTTGCACGCGGGGCACCGGGTACAGAGACGCCGCCGACCAATCCGGACGCGCCCACAGCTCGTCGAGTCCTCCCCTCCGCGCCAATCTCCGCGCCGATCTCTCGATTGATTTGCGTCGGTTACGTGACCGCCGCGCCGCACGGCGCGCGCGTATGCGCGGTTCCCCACCACCCACTCAAACCACCCGTGCGTCCACCCACCCGCCCTACGATCATCCTCAGTGATGCGGCGGGGAGGTTGTGCAGCCGTGGCCGCCGGGTCGACTTAGGAGGACGACCGTCGAATAGCTGGACCGTCGTGCGTGTGAGTTGTATATTTTTCTCTCCTCTCGCCGCCGTCGACCCGACGTCGTATTATTTATTATTATTATTATTATTATTTTTTAAAACTTTTTTTTTACCTCGCTGCGGATGTCGCGCTCGGCGTGTTTGTGTGCCACCGCCACCGTCCGATATCGATTTCGAAAAGAAACGCGCGCGCGCGCGCGCATCACACACTCGCGCCGTCTACATTTTATATTGAAAAATACGTAGGTATACCGTCGACAAACGCGATAAGTCTGAATTATCTCGTCGCATACCTACGTTGTGTAATGCCGTACGCACAGCGTATTTACGGACGTAGTGGATGTGGAATTGATCCATGTGACACCTATTGTATTTAACGACATTTACGTGGGACGGGATCGTCGCCGGTTTTCGATTTCCTGTGTCAGGCTATACGTATAAGCGCGATAACGCGTTGAGAATGTTGGGATACGCGTGAAAACAGATTTAAAACCATAACTGTTGGGCGTTACTACATATAACGTTTTTCTTGTCTGTATATATAGGAGGTGCAAAAATTAATGTCAAATATTACCCTCTTGTCACTCTATCAGACGAAAAGAAATCTAATTAATTCTCTAAGTAATAACGACTTTTTATACGTCATATTTGAACTAGTAGAGTATGATAATAAATTTTAATATATCATTTACGGTATCTATAGAGGCTTAAGATCTGTTGACGATCGATTAATCGTCATTAACTGCAGTGATCAAGTACTGTATATTTAATTTCACAAAGATACGCGTGCATATAGCCTATGTCCGATCATGGCTCTGCAATTACTGACATCAACCGTGTACCTATAGATAAATATAGATTATAATTTGGAGAACAGCTTTCGATGAATATTGCGCGTGAGATCTTATTGAGCGACAAAAATTAATGTGACCTATAAAAACTGAGATGGTCATGGTCTATAGACTGTACTACGTATAATGTGACATAATTAATATTCTATTTTTGATAAACGGTAAAAATAATTTTTTCATACGTTCTACAACCCCAATTGCCGTATGTGTAATTTAAACCGCTTAATTTAGACGCATTTTATCGAATAACATAACATCCACAGACAGTGTGATACGAAGGATACAACAGTAAAGTTTTAAATCTATGGAGTTGTGTTGGTTATCAGCTCGAACCTACACTAATACCTTACCTATAGGAAGGCGTAAAATTAATTTATTCTATTTTGATTTTCAAGGTTAGGTTAAGTAATATTTTTAATTTTTCGGTCAATGAATATTATCTCCACCATGTATAATGTGTATACATCGTTTTTTTCCGGAATTTGGGTTTATTTTATTAGCTCATTATAATGTATGACGTAAAACTCATTGACGTAGTGCTTAAAACTCATTAACGTAGTGCTTACAGCCGCAATAAAATTGTTCATCTTGCTGTTGTAGCGATTTAAAACCTTTCCTTCGTTATCGTCTGAAGCATGGATCGGATAAACACACGAAACAACGTTGGCGGCAGATCATAGTTTCGGATCGCGTCGGGTTTACCCCAGTGATAGCCTTTTCGGGAGAGATTTCTGCCCAACAATGCACACAATAACTTGTACAAGTTTATTTTAGGCCATCCCACGCTATTATCTATTTTTATTTTTACAATATTTTTTCAAAATAAATATATATTTTTGACCCGCACGTTAATGTTGTATATTATAATGTAAAGAGGTGGCTTATTATATTTTATATAATATATTATACCCATCACTACGTCTGCGAACACCGCCGGGCTTACTTGTATGTATGTATATTGTATATATATTATGTAAAGCGTCCTTTATAAATATATTATTTTATTATAGGATACATTTTCACCCATTCCAGATCTCTGCGGGTGAAGGCATACTTATGTAGACTTTTATAAATAGTTAACTGTGGTGATATTATGTATATTGTGATATTATAATTGGTGTAATTATCTATTTCGCATACACATACACACACACACACATATATTATATATATATATTTATATATAGATCCAATGCATTACGTGAGCATGTATCTATTTTACGAGTTTCACATACCTTGACCGTCTTACATGTTTCACCACTTTATGTTTTTTTATTCATCGGAGTATAATTATTATAAGCTTCATGTGCGTGACCCTTCCATCCT